ATTCGTAAAAAAATTAAGAGGTTAAAGGGTATAAAAATAGCAAATTTAATAGTAGAAATTGTCGGAATTTAATATAGTTTTTCTATAGGGTTGAAATGCAGCTAGCTTACAATGAAAAGTTTTTTTTATGCCAAGTAAACCTTTCTTGAATTTCTAACAAAAATTATTAAGCAGGTTATTCCGGTTCTAATAGTGGTAGAATTATTCAAATTGGTTTGGTAAACCGTGAGTTATTGGAATTTTCTCCTTTATAACTATATGACTTTTACATATTGCCAGAATTCCAACATTATATGAATGTGATAGCAAATCTCCGCCGATTTTTACTATGAAATTTATGCCCTTCAACTGCGATCTACCACTTAAATATCTATGAGAATAAATATATGATCATGATATTTTTTGCAAGAAATTACATAACCAATTTTGCAAATATCCAGGAAAAACTTCACACAGTCATATATAAATATCGGATAACACCATTATTGGGCAGTAGATGAAAAACAACAGAAAATTCTTTCGTCGGAGTTAATGTCACTCAATGTGCTGTTACGCAGTACATGAGTGAAATTAACTCCGACGAAAAAAAATTTCGTTATTTTTCATACATATGCTGTCAATGAACACAAAACACGCATGGTTGTCGGGTATTTTCGGGAGGCATATTTCGCATAATTAGTACTCACAAAATCAAGTCAAAACTTGAATTTAATTCAAATTCAAAATTTGACTTGATTTTGCGGAGTACAAGCATAATTCTAAAAAAATTATTATATAATTCGAATTGTAAAGCAGGCAGAATTTGGGGTCTGTCGCGGCAGAAAATGGTTCCTAATACTGATCACTAAATACCCCGTAATCTTAATCAGAGTATTTGTGATTTAATAATAATGTTGCGTACTATAGCCACAGGTGTGTAAATGTAAAATATATATTTTCTGTATTTATTCATTGAGATTGTCAATTTATTTATATAGAAGAAAGGAGTTTATGTATTAAATGTGATATACGTATATACTTGCATTTATACATTAACCTACAAAATTACTATAATAAGGAAAAAAAATAATCCAAAATTCAATTGGCTATACGGCGTTCTAAACCTTTTTTTTTTTTACTACCCATTTTTTTTTTACTTTTTTTTGTTTACTAACCTTTTTTCTCAATCTGCAAAAAAAAAAAAAAAGATACTAATGACTATTAAGGATGGCTTCACAACAATATCACTTGATTATTAATTGTTTTAATTTCCTTTTTTTGAATTTCGGAGTTTAATGACTATATATATATATTATTTATTTTATTTATTTATACGTATTACATAAATCTCGGAGAATTAAAAATCAAATTGAACTATAAATGCAGCCTTCCTTATTTATCATTAATGTTCCTATTTAATGACTACTTTAACAGCTCACATAATTATTTACTGCACGGTCTTATGTGTCAACCCCATATGGGTCGATTTTTTCGATTTTTATCGATCATGACTATACATCTAGCATCACCACTCAAAACTTTCGCCGATTATATGATCTTATTAAAAAATTGGTTCGCAATTAGTTTAGGGTCCCACCAGTAGGTTAGTGTTTGGTTTAAAGAGCATAAATTATAGTAAAATTTTACGAAGAAATTTTTTTGTTAGTACGCAGAAGGCACTTTCATAGAAAAAATTTTAAGCACTTCTTTACATTACATAGGACCTTGAAATCTGATTGGCCAGCGAAATTAATTAGGGTGGTGATTTAATCCCTGTCGATCATGACCCTCAAAATTGCCAAATGATCTACAAATTTGATTTCATTTACAACAGACACCGTGTAATACAGTAAATATCATTCATTTCAATTTAGTTAGATTGATGATCTGCATGTTTTTGATCCCGTAAGTTCGTGAATACAACATAAATAGCCACATATTTTGTGTGAAGCTTCATGTATCAATAAAAGGAAAATATATGAATTTTAAAATAAGCTTCCCGAAATATGACAAAGTTGAAGAGATTACCTGATCGTCGATCTAACTAAATCGAAAGGAGCGATAATAGCATGATAGTTATAAATGACCCCTGTCACCATACATGTTGGTTTAACCCTGCCGTCATCTTTATTTGGGTGCTGCCAAGTGAAAACCTGACATTCTAAAAATAGATTTCTACGGACAACGGAATACGGACTTTAAATGATGATCCAAAAAAACAGTATAATTCATTATTCTAGTCAGATTAGTTAAAACCCCACATAACGTTGTTCATAGAAATCTATTTTTAGAACGTCGGGCTTTCACTTGGCGGCACCCATTTATATACTTAAATATCTAATGGAACATCATCCTCGTAAGCAAATACATATTCGTGTGTAAATGTCATACGCAAGTAATTTGGTATTTCAATTCTTATAATTCTTATTCTTATAAAGACAAATTATTTTTACCATTTAGAAATGATAACGATAAAAATATTAACGCTAATTGATTTATTATCTAATAATGCAAAGATATTACGTACGTACAGTACATGCGTTGTGTTTCCTAAAGAAATCGCGAATAATTAATGTATTGGGAATTATTTTTCGTATTTAATTATATTATTCTTTAAACTGTCAAGTTAACTACATATATACTACGATTTAGACTACAATCCATAATTTGATAATTTAATCTCAGATCAATCATGCAAATTCGCCCGAAAAACGGTTTAGTACCTTAGTAAGTCAATAAACATTTATAGATATGAATCGTATATTACAAAGCAAGTCGTAAGCAGATCTTAATCAGTGATGGACAGTTAGGATGATTATAAAATCGGTAAATCAAATCATAAGTAGGGTTACATATTATTGAGGATTTTTTATCGGTTATTTTAATAATTTTGGAAATTTCGGAAAATTAACAATACAATTTGGTTTCTTTATTAGCGTTAGTGTTTTTTATGTCAATTTTTTATTAAATAGTTTTTATTAAATAAATTACTAATTGTGTAACTATAAAATGTAGTGAGAAAATTCCAGATCAACAGAACTGGCTTGTACAAATATTGATTATATGCATATTTACTGTTACATTTTTTTAAATATTCTATAATTCAAATTTAGTAAATAATTGTGTGACTAAATTATTATTATATCCCTTAAATCGTCAACTTTAAAATATACTGTGACTAGGGTTGAAAATTGCATTTTACTACCTTACATTTCAATTTAAAAATTACCTGGCTTTAGACGATCACCATTTCGGATTACTAATCCTCTGCTATTTCTAATAATAAGAATATCAAAGTTATATAAAATGATAGATGATTATTTGTAGAATAATGCTATAGAAAAGTATATAATATGCAAAAAGACTGACAAAACAAAAAACTAATTTGAAAACGATATAAAAATTTTCTTATTTAAAATATTTTATTCTATTATTACTCTAAAAAAGTTATATAAAATAAAAATTCATTTTATAATAGTATCTCACACATATTTTACAGTTTAAAATTTGTAATTATATCGACATTGTGAAATACAACATAATCTATCAATTGTTGATTATATTTATGGTTTTTTTGCCAATAGTTTATAAAGCTGACCAAAATATTATGTAAAATGATCTACTCAAGCTTACTCATCATAGTGAAACATTCGTATGATAGGCTATCAATTTCAATTGAATTTTACATTATTTATACAGTTTAAAGTACTTTTACAAAAAAACAACTCACAATAAAATAAGATATATATACCGGGTTGGTGAAAAGTAACTGAACAATGCCCTTTTTTACGATCTTTGCTAATCTATCAGGTTGGTGAAAAGTAACTGGATAGTGACCTTTTTTTAATTACTGATATACTATTGATTATCACTTAGCACTAGTGCTCCGAAAGGGGTCAAGTAACCCGGGTAATCGACCCCAGAACATAAAACCCGAAATTTAACACATGACCCCAAGTGATTACATAAATCACGGGTAATTAATTAATCGAAGGGTAATCAATGAAAAGTATGTCAAAATCAGTAGTAGTTAAATATCGTATGATTGATGTAATTGATGTAATTAGTTTGAGTCAAATGTAGAATATATAAAGCGTATTATAAAAATAGAGAATTAGTTATTTTTTCGCTCTACTTAAGTAAATTCCAAAACATTTACCATCGTATCTTTCATCAATAATAACATGTCTTTAATCGAAAATTATGATTCTGCTCAATATGAGCCTGAACATTTTATGTATAATACTGAACATAAATCGCAGCCACTTGCCTCTATCACGTCTAGTATTAACAATAGCGAAGATCCAGCAACTTCCTCTAGAAAAAGACATAGCAAGCTTTTTTTAGAAGGGCTATTTGAGGAAAGGGATCTTTCATTAGAACATCCTAAAACACATACGCATCGAGAAATAGTATGCCTTGCCTGTTCTGAAGATAAAAGAAAAACATGGTTACACAGAAATGATGATTCCAATACAACAAATCTTTGGCGTCATCTTGAATGTCATCATCCAGACAGTGATCCAGACAGTAATCCAAGATCAAAAGAAGAATCATCTAAATTTATACAATTAGCTTTTAAAAAGTTATTCAATAAATGGATAGTCTTAGATAATCAGCCATTTATGACTGTTGAAAATAAACATTTTCAATAAATGATAAAGCTGTTAAATCCAAATGCAACTATTCCTGTAGGAGATACGATTAGAAATGATATTATAAAAAATTTCAAAGATGAAAGCATAAATATAAAATGTTTACTTCAAAGTGTTTCAGGAAAACTTTTATTTGCTATTGATGTGTGGACATTAGCAAATATTTATTCTTTTTTCATCATTACAGTGCATTGGATTTCTAAAGACTGGAAGCTTCAAAGTATTTTATTGGATTTTATTAATCTTCATGGTCCTCATTCAGAAGAAAACTTATATGATGCATTTGTTAGTAACTGTTGTAAATTTGAAATTTTATCAAAAATTTTTATAATTATAAGTAATAATGTTATGAATAATAATACTTTTATGCAACATCTGAAAAATATATGTTATAATGAGAATATTGTTTTTAATGCTGTTGAATCTTATTGTAGATGCATTGCTTATATCATAAACCTGGCCATGCAAGATATTCTTAAACAATTCAAGACTGGCAAAGCACAAACTGAAAATGCTATCTTTGATAATATGAACACACACATAATAGTTGGAAATATAATTCTGAAACTTCAAAAACTTATAGTTAAAATTAGATCATCATCACAGCATTGTGAATTTATGTGTCAAGTTAAAGCTGCTGGTCTTGAGAATTATATCTTATATTGGATATTAAGACTAGGTGGAACTTTACTTACAAAATGCTTGTATGAGCACTGGTGATGCATGATGCAATCAATGCAATTACACATTTAGATAAGAATCTTCAATCATTACAACTTGATATTCATGAATAGAATAAAATTAGAGAGATTGTAACTATTTTAGAAATATTTGTATGAACAACCAAAATGATTGAATTAGCAAAATATCCAATGCTTGCTTCTATTATATCAATATATAATTATCTAATTGATGAACTCATAAAACATTGCAATAATCCTAATTATTCTTATGAAATAATCATTGCAGTAAATGCAAGATTGATAAAGTTAGAATCATATTATTCAAGAACAAACAATATGACTATTTATATTATCGCAACTGTTCTTGATCCAAGACTAAAATTGGATTATTACAAAGAAAATAATTGGAACAAAGATTTTATCAATGGCATTAAAGCAACTATTCTTCAAATCTATAAAAATAATTATAAATCATCTTCTTATAAAGCTACCAATTAGAGGATGGTGATTCTAGTGTAGTGGTTGTGTTGTCATCCTCCAAGTGGCAGGTCTAAGGTTCAAATCCTACCTATGACGAAATTTGGAAATTATATCTATGTTACGATAACTGTCTCCTGTCGATCGGTTGGCCTCATGTGGCTGTTACCCAGGTACACCAGGCTGGGTCACCCGGCTTTGAGAGCTCAAGGCATCTATGTGAAGTGTAATATTACACATACATAGAGAAATGTTACCGGTGTTGCATAAGACTTCGGTACAAACCCATGATAAGTCCACTGGGCGTAGAAGACTAAGGAACCAAGGTGACGGAAAGATGGATACTGAGGTTCTAGTAAA